TACCTGGAGAAGAAAAGGAGGAGAGGCTGTAGATTCCATCTTGAATTTTGAAACCCCATGCAAAGGGGAGTTAATGTTCAAAACTGCAATTTAAGGGGCTTAATTCTGTTTATACTAGCTAACTAGGAGGGATCTTCTAGTCCTAGCTGGCTAACATTAAACAGAGGTTGCAGTCAGTGTGAGTTTAGTGCTAGCAGTGAATATGTGAGGATGAAATCCGTTTGTGGGAATCAAAGTCAACCGCATAGATTATGTACAGGGGAGACTTTTAGGAAGTTTTCCCCATGCAGGATCTTTTTGTTTTAACCCACATCAGAGGTAATGGAACAATGAGACAAAATAAGATGTTGAGCATTGAAGGCCTGTCCTGCATGGGTAGTCAGCAAGCAAGGGGCTTCAGCTTACACCTTCTCTTTCATCTTAGAAGATGCTTTTTCTAGTTTACCAGGAACTAATGGAGCCTGCAGCTTACCTCATTGTCTCAAATAGGCAGGACACACTAGCACAGAAAGGGTAGTATTTTTGCTATTCTTTCACTGTTATCATGGACATAAAGAGAGGCAGACTGCTTTTCTCTAGCTAAACTTCAGGCCTTTGCAAACTGCCAGAAATAGTGCAAATTGAGTCCACTTTAGTGCTAGGGAATCATGGGAATTGTTTTTTTTCTGAAACATTGAGTCTTCTCTGTCAGAGAGCTCTGGTGCCACATTAAAACACAGTTCCCATGATTCCCTAACCCTAACCCTAACCCTTAAAGTGGACTCAATTTGCACTATTTCTGGCAGTCTGCAAAGGCCCTTCATCTCCTTCCACTATTTGAAACTGAACAGGGCTGTTTGAAATTAGCAGTTGCCCTACTCAGTTTTTCACAATACTATTCCTATTTGCAATATATACCTCTTCTCTTCTACATTTTTCTGTGTTCTACATATTACAGTAACTGTATTACTGATTGACCAAGTTACTGTGTAACTTTTAATTACCGGTATTTACACCAAAGCCTAGAAAAATTGCTTTCTTTGCCTACAGTTTCCTGTGGATTCTGGGATTTGAAATAGAAATTTATTATTTTTTTCAAGCTCTGATTTGCCTTCCTGCCTACCTATAACTTTAATGCAGGAAGGGGCTGTTTCCATCTGCCATTTATTTGCATTGTGGCTTACAGTTTGTTGTGTGGATCTTGAGTTTATATGGCAGCTATGGAGGTCTGCAAATCCTGATAAGAGGGATACTAGACTGATGAGAATTTTTGCTGATCAGGATTTATTTCTATGCACAGATATGTGCATGCTATTTTCTGTGATTAAAGCAGCATTTTCTGTTCTGAAGAAAGCAGCATCTGCACGGGAAACAACATTTTTGTACAGAATGTACAGGGAAAAGGCTGCAAGTGGGTACTTATTGTGCACAGATTTGCACATGATTTTTCTATGCATTTTCTGTTTTCTGCACAAAATCATCATATGTAAATTTCATACAGGCTAAATCACAGACTTCAAATAATTTTGAAACATTGTACAGTTTTTGAAGATTTTCATACAGTGGGAAGAAAATTGCTAAAATTATTCATTATAATGAAAGCTGCATGGAATTATATCCCTATCACATAGCAAGGCAGGTCTGATATTATAGCTGTGGTGAGAACCACAAGTCTGGAAAACCTTCTTTGTCAAACAGAGGTCAGGTTTATTTTTAAAGTCTATTTCTCACACTGGTGAATTTTTAAAGGGGTCAAGGAATAAAAGCAAAAGATGGCATGCAGTCAGTTTCCCTGCCATTGTGGCACAAATCCTGCAGTAGAGAACTATAGGGTTGGAAAAAACTATGTGCTGCAATTATATTTCACTGCTCTCAAAATCAAAGGAAAGAGTGTGTGTGCATGTGTGTGGGCAGCTGCCTTGTTTGGTGCTTAAGTATTCATTGGCAATTGCCTTCATTGTTCCTCACTTTATTAGCTTTCGCCAAGTAGTTTAGCTTTTACTAAGGGCATTGGGGTTTATGGCAGCAATATTTCTCACAGTGTCAGAGATAAAATATCAGGCTAATAACGGACTCTGGTAATGTAAATCGTAGAAGAAAAAGCAATCTCATTTTGAAGAAGTCCTGTCTGAGAATGCTAAGTCTCCTATCCAGGAATGGAAGCCGGAAAAATTCACAACACTTTATGTTTGCTACGAAGATAAATCATTTGTCTTAAGTGACAAGAGGCAAAGGAGCTCCAATTTCAACTACTGCCTGTCTCAATAGACAGCAAATGTGGGGTCTTTTGTGGATTCTTTGGACTCATTCTGACAAGTACTTATGACTCTGATGAATTTCACTGCGAGTGTTTAGTGCTTTTTTTAAACTCCAGAAACCAAACATTCTGGCTTAATCTATCCTCACTGATAAGGAAGAAAGATTGCGGAAGAAGGACCATGGAATCTTTAAGCTCATCCTGTGTTTCTTGCTTAAACAAATTTATTTACTGGTGAGATTTTTTTGGTACCCAATTCTCCCATGTGAAAGAATAGTAATTTTGTATGTAGAAGGGGTGAAACCTTATCAGTTTACAACTGTTTTACATCAGTTTAATTGCAGTTTCATGTACTAAGAATTCTAGGTTTTAAGGGTATTAAACCTATGATGGCTTGAAAAGCTTTATGTTAACTAAGGGCCTCGGCAGACGACTAATTGAGCTGTCTTCCAGGCCCGGAAGAGGAGGGGCAGCCGCACGAGTGGCACCCCTTCCTCTTCCTGAGGTCGCCCTCGGAGTCGCTGGCCGTTCGCACGGCCGGCGCTCCGGGCATGACCTCACACCGCGGCGACCGGACGCGCCGCGGCGTTTGAGTCAGGGAAAGTGCGCCCGCCGCTTTTAGGGCGCACTTTCCCTGACATCTAAAAGGAGCGCCAATTTGGAGCTCCTTTTAGAGTCGCCGGAGGAGCGCAGCGGTGCGGAGGCTGAGCTCCGCCGGCACTCCGACCCGCGGCGACTGGGAAGCAGTCGTCTGCTTCCCCCCTAAACTGGCCCTTTGTTTTTGTTGTGGACAAACACAAACGATACAAGTCTTTTACAAGTTAATAATAAAAAATAAAACAAGAGTAGAGGTGACCATCTTCACCACTATTTGTAGCATATGTAAATATGCTAATATTTATGATTTTTTGGTACTCTGTCCTCATCTCTCATTAAGAAAAAAGTTAGGGCAATGTGTTTTAGGGTTTTGGCTGCACTTCGTTGAGAAGGTATAGGAAATGATCACTTTTTCATGTGTGTAATTATGTGTATGATGAGGGAAGTCTCAAACAGAAAATCCAGCACACATTACCATGTTTAAATTGTTTGTGTGAATCTGTACTTATATTCTTGCAGATCAGATCAGAGTATTTCCCAAACAATCCATGTAATGTTAATGATTAACAACAAGAAGTATAGCCTTCATTAAGCATTCTCAAAATAATACCTCTATTGAGGTTCTGTCATATTTATTTTAATTGGTGAACTAATTGATTAATTGGTTAAAGAAGCAAGGTATTTAATCACATAAGATTAGAGTGAGCAGACAGCCCTGAGGGTTTTTTTTGCGGAATGCACACAATAATTTTTGTTGTGAAATAAAAAAGATTCATTTTGCAACTTGTTCATTGGTTTCTTGGGATTGCATGTTGTGAAACTGATCTGTTGCTGTTCATGGATATGGGACAGCCAAACTCCTAAATGATAAAAAAAAGTTGGGACCAACTGGGTGCAGTCATTTTTATTTGGTTCTGATACCTCAAGTGCTCACACTACACTGGCTACACTGGTAAGGCAAGAACAAGATCTTTTCTGGCAGCTGGGTTGATTGATGACCTGGGAGATTGCATGTAGCATAAGTAGTAATGTGATACAGGGTGTGCATTATAGGCAATTGCAATTTGAATAAGTTATTGGTTAAAGGAAGGAGAGGAGTGAATGCTGTTTTATTAACCCCCTGATGTTATAATCATAGCGTTTAGGGGGAAAGTTTATGAATTCATATGAATTATGATCATGGTGACAAATGCTGGTGTCCTGAGAATTTCTGCTCATAACCTCTCCAGTAGCCAGTATTTTATAAGAATATTTTAAACCAGCAGTCCATGTATTTTCTAAATGTGAAGGAAGGTGGAGCCTGGAAACACTTTGAATTTACTTACGTGTCATGCTCAGCACTTTCCATTTGGCAAGCATTGTTAAGAATATAAATTTAAGAGAGTTAAATAAGAAGAGGTGCCAAGAACAATTTAGACTGGCAAAGGTATAGTGGGAGAAGTATTAATGTTCTGCTGCTTTTAATAGATTCTATGCTAGGAATGTGGGGGGCTGCATTCAATAATATTTTTAAAATCACTTGATAAATCAGCTTTCCATTTTACAGATAATTTAGAGAACCTATGAAATTGAAAGAAAATGTGTCTCCATAGAGAGTGATGGCTGAAAGTGTTGCCCCCACTCTGATTTTGCTTTCTAAATCATTACAGCCCATATCTGGTTGGTTATACACTGCATTGTCATAGCCCTACATGGTCCCTGAATAACTGGCTCATTTAGGTAGTAAGGAGACTTACCTAAATTAAAACACACACACTAAAGCAGCTGCTGAAGGAGGCACTGAAAATGAGCCAAAGTAGATCTTCTAAAGAATCTTTTCTCCACCTATGCAAAGCTTCTATTTATACAGGTTCAGAACTTTTTAGCTGCTGATTTAATAATTTGTTTTCTCGTATTTCATGTACATGTGTATCCTTCTTCAGTCAACATACTCCTTACACAATGACAAGAAGAGCGGGGTTGGGAATTTCCTTCCTGCCCTCCATGTATTGGGGAGGTAGACTTATGCAGTCTACCTCATGTTGTTGTATGCCTGCATTTTTTTTAAAATTATTGTGACCCTATCACAGGGTTTTCTTTGCAGGATTTATGCAGAGGGGAGTTTGCCCTTGTCTTCCTCTGAGGCTGAGAAAGAGTGACTTGCCCAGGGTCATCCAATGGGTTTTCATGGCTGAATGGGGATTCAAATCCTAGTCTCCAGAGTGTTAGTCTTGTATGCAAACCACTACACCATGCTGTCTCTCTGTCTCTTTCAGGGCACCAAATCAGATTAGCTGACAAATGGCAAAAGATCATCAGTCCCTCAGTCTAAAGAGATGGGGGTGGGGAACCATACCTGTTTCAATGAGGCATTTTCAGGGTCCAGTCCCTATACAATGTCAATTTTTTCACTGGAGGGATATAACCAATAAAGTTGTGGCCTTTTCATTCCAATTATGTATACCTATTCAACACAGAACAAGACACAGTTTACATGGGAATCACTCCTCCCTACCCAGGGTCTCACAGTATATATAGACCTACTCTCTTCCATTTCAGTATTCTCTGAAGATGCCAGCCACAGATGCTGGCGAAACGTCAGAAAGAAAGTCTTCTAGAACATGGCCACACAGCCCGAAAAACCCACAAAAAACTATGGATGCCGGCCATGAAAGCCTACGACTTCACAATAGTAATAATAGCTTTTTATTTAGATGTTTACAAATTAAGCTTGCTCCATCCTGGAAATATTTAGGTTGAACAAATTAGTTTGATGTTTTCAGAATCATAGAATCATAAGAGTTGGAAGAGACCACAAGGGCCATCCAGTCCAACCCTCTGCCATGCAGGAACACATAATCAAAGCACCCCGACAGATGGTCATCCAGCCTCTGTTTGAAAACCTCCAAAGAAGGAGACTTCACCACAATCCAAGGGAGTGTGTTCCACTGTCCAACAGTTCTTACTGTCAGGAAGTTCCTACTAATGTTTAGGTGTTTTCCTGGAGATTCATTGTTCCAGGTCCTGTTCTCTGGAGCAGCAGAAAACAAGCTTGCTCCATTCTCCATGTGTCACCCCTTCAAATACTTAAACAGGGCTATCATATCACCTCTTAACTGTCTCTTCTTTTATGTCCCTTCAAGTCAACTCCAAGTTATGATGAGCCTATTATAAGGGATTTTTTTTTTTTGCAAGATTTATTCAGGGGAGATTTGCCATTGCCTTCCACTAAGCATGAAAGAGTGTGACTTGCCAAAGGGCACCTAGTGGGTTTTGATGGCTAAGCAAGGTTTTGGACCCTAGTCTCCCAGAGTCCTAGCCTAGAACTCAAACCACTACATTATACTGGCTCTCAATATAATTTACTCCTATCTAAACTATGTAAATTATTAAAAATCATTTTTATGAGACTGTTCAATTTTAGCATCCAAATACTTGCCCTTATGAAAAAAAATACTTTTTGTTGTTTCCAGAGGACATTTAGGATCCTAACGTATTGAACCTTTAAAAATGGTAAGTTTCAAAACTGGAGAATGAGGCTAAAGGATGTAGCATGCTAAAAAGGTGTCTAGTGTGTTCTTGAGAGATGTAAGTATCAAACCTTGGAATTTCTCACTATGTCTCACTAGCCACTGTAGTTCACTTATCTTTCTTTTGTACTAGAAATAAGGTTGAACTTTATTTTTATATCTGATTACTGGTATATGACTTCACACTACACCAGATCATAACTGCATCTGAGAACAGCTGGAGACCTTTTACCATACTGCCACTTTTGAACTTTTGTGTTGGAGATGTCTCAGGTTGAACCTGAGGCATGGAGAACATGTATGGTTTGCCACTGACCTGTGGAACAAGTTAAAGGTCTTCCTCATATGTACCACTTCAAGGCATGGACTTCATGTTTGTCAGTTCTGTTCACTAAAATAGCTCAGATAGGCAAAAGTGATATGTTACAGTGGATGTTTTCAGTCTATCTTTCTTCTTTATTTGCTTATTTTCACATAGTGAAGCAGGGATTATTTTTTTTTAAAAAAAAACAATTAGTACAACTAAGGAGTGCACAAAACTTGTTCTAGCACTTTGTATAAACTGGCCCTTAATGTTAAGTTTTCTGGATGGGCATAGTGAAAGAGAGTATCTCTCAGCAGTTATAGATGTTGTACATCAAATGATGATTTAAAATGAGAACTTATATATAGACCAAAAGTACCGTACTTTAAACTCTGTGCAAACAAGAAACAAAAGTGAATAAACCTTTGCTTTGTTTTTGGGAGTGATCTAGTTAAGATCTTCCACTTGGTCATGTCACTGATGTTCAGAGCTATATCAAGTGTGGCCACTGAGTAGAGGAATAACAATTAGTTAATTAACCAAGGGCAAGTTAATTCTAAATAAATAAATAATGATGTATGAAGAGCCAATCGGGAACTACATATCAGGGATGGGTTCACTATTATGGCAACTCTGTAAGCTAATATTGATTCTCATTATTTTTAAATGATTACAAACATTGTAGGTGTTTTGTAATAATCTCTATTATATAATTAGAACATGCATGAAATGAAATCATTCTGGCTGCTGACAAATATTGATTGAACAACCAACTCTGCCTTATATGAATGATGAGAGATTGTTGGCAAATAATACTGCATCCTTGTTGCTAAATGAGTAAATGGGGGTTAGAAAATGGGCCAGGGAATATGCTAAAGCTTAAAGAAATATGTTCCCAAAATGTCCCTGCAGAATTATCTGTTGAAACTATGCAGACAGTCCATTGTGCCTTAAATATTCTCTAATTTTTTGATATCTGTGTTTGACTCCAAATGGCATTTGGCTTTCCCAGTTACATCTGTTCACATTTTGCTGGTTTAGATAACTGATATACCATGGTATTTACAGTTGCCTCTCCTTTGTCACAGACTTAAAATCTGCAGATTTGCATACTCACGGAGTAGTGACCTCCGTGAAAATCAATGGGGTGTGCTGTTTTGCATAGGGCTTGAATATTTGTGAATCTCTGTTTTTGCGGGGGCTCCAGAAGGAATCCCCTGCGAAAATGGAGGGACAACTATATTATTATTGTTGGCCATTATACAGCACCATATCATGGCAATTTCAAATGTCCTACCATCTCAGCATACTGTCCACAGTGACATATACAGGGCAGGAGATCCTTGTGCACTGGAGAAGATTGGCATTGACAAGTTCCTTGGGCAGGCCTTTCCTGATTATTCCTGGCTAGGAGTGCCCCATTCCTCCCCTACCTTGGTTAGAGTCGCCGCTGGTGTTTGCTTATGGCTGCCTGAGTTGTTTGAGTTGTTTTAATTTGTTAATATGTTTTAATATACAGTGTGTTTAATACTTTTATAAGGGGTGGGTGGGTTCTGGGATTCTTAGATTTTATACAATGTTGCAATATATTTGTTGGATTTTAATGTTGTTTGGCTAGAGGGGCGGGGTATAAATAAAACATTATTATTATTATTACATGTTTCAGTTCACACCTGTAAAACTGAACTGTAGCATTACTCATCATGAACCAAAATTTTATTAGAACCCATCTGAGTTCATTGAACCCTATCAAAGTGGGTCCTTACCAAGATGCAAAACAGCTTGATTACCATTACTGACGTTCTTCTGTCATGCTTAACCATCGAAGAATGTTGAATATATTCAAAACACCCAGGCTTCCTTAGAAGATAAAACAGATATTCTACTAATATCCTTTAAGAATACAATAGTCTTTCTATCAGTAAAGGCACTTGACAGTTAATAATAATAAAGTAAATATTAAATGTATCCTGAAGTGAACAGGGGGGAGACCGTGATTTGGATTTTCTTGGCATTTTTCAGTCATAAATTCCATTTATGTGGAAGCTAGACTCTTTTAGAGCTGAGAGCATCAAGGCTCAGGTGCTGGGCTTAATAATAATAATAATAAAAAATCAGCTAAGTTAGATATCAAGCCACACTAGAAACTCTGATCTGGCAATGCCAGTGAAGCAGAGGAATTTTCAGGTCCAGGCTTTGCCGAGATAAATCCAACAATTCTATTAGGCCTGATGCCAGATTTAGCATCACTGGTCAGATTAACTACAGTGGTGTACCCTTTGCCAAGCAATTTGGATATGAACTGCATATCCAAATAACTGCATTTCTGGTTAACTGGGATGTTAGAAGATGGACTTTATATGCTTAGGCAGAAGAAGCAGTCAACTATATAAGAACCTTGTTGCCTTTATAGGAAGTTAGATATCAAATATTGTCTTTGAAAACAATATTTTTGGTGGGGACATAAACAAAGTCTTTCTAATACTAAAGGTGGGACTTAGGCCCAGGATACCTGGACTCAAGCACTTTTTACATCTTCACACCGTACATTTTTTGGCATATAATGTTTAAGGACATACCTAAAATGTAATGTATGAGTTTGCAAACAAATGTTAAAAACATGTAGATCATACAGAGACCCTCCCTGACCAGGACTGGCTCTGAATCCCTGTTAAGCAGCAAATTCCTATTTGTTTTTGTGTTTTGTATAAAACTACATTAAATGAATGGCTTTATTGAGTACTGTTTCACACAAATATGATACGTATTTAAGTAGGCAAATTTTCTGGGTAATGGTGTAGTGGGAAATAATTGTCTTTCTTACTGATTTATTTAAAAACAGAGAGGCAAAGCTACCGTAGTTTATTTTTTCCAGTGCAAAGCATTTCCCACAATTTCCTAAAATCTGTATAAATTGCTTCCCACATTTTTTCAGGAGGAATGTTCAGCTTTGAATTTCAAGCCTCTGGTTTCAAGTCATCATTTTTCACATGAACTAAAGGCCTTTGCAGACTGCCAGAAATAGTGCACATTAAATTGAGGCACTGCCCTGGCTCAGTGCTAGGGAGTCATGGGAACTGTATTTTTTTCTGAGACATTGAGCCTTCTCTGTCAGAGAGCTCTGGTGCCACAATAAATTACAATTCCCATGATTCCCTAGCACTGAGCCAGGGCAGTGCTTCAATTTAATGTGCACTATTTCTGGCAGTCTGCAAAGGTCCTAAATCTTAAGAGCATATGTCGTTTTTAAACTGTTTCCCATTGGTTCAGACATGAATTCCTCCCTTTTCCCTCTTAACCTCTTCCTTGGTTCCCTGCTTCAGTTTTCAGATTCCCAAAATCTTTTTCCAAGTGGCAAATCATTCCTTGGAGCAATCAATATCCTGCTCAGCTGGAACACTGTTACCAGGGAAACCTCTGCAGCCA